ATATGGGTACTTTAGGGCCAAGGTTCTACTATTTGGGTACATGGACCCTTAGGGTTGATTCAGACATGATACAGCCATAATTGGTTTAGGGTTTAGGGTTTAGGGTTTAGGGTTTAGGGTTTAGGGTTTAGTATAATCTATCGTGAAAGACCTACTGCTGTGTAGCGGGATAGTCTCCATTGTAGTTCCTTGTTTTGGTTAGCCAAATTATTTATATTATGGGATCCTAACCATAAGATTGGTTAGCCAGAAAAAGGAACTACAATGGAGACTACCCTAAACCCTGAACCCTAAACCCTAAACCCTAAACCCTTGAAGCCCTAAGCCCTAAAGGTAAACATCGGCACGCAGGCTCAAAGGCCATCGGCCTCTCGAGGTATTCCTCTCCAGATTCCTCTTGGTAATCTCGTCTTTTTGCTTTTGGAAGCCTGGTGCCAGTTGTTTTACGGCCTTAACTGCAGGGCTCCTGTCTTGAAGGTACTGCTTTTACTGCAGTTTAAACTTGCTGTCTCGTAGCGAAATCTACAGCTGCATGCAGTACTTGAGACATAGGGCAGCATGAATCTTTTGTACCGTTGACTCGGCAGAGGTTGAGAGACAACCTGACCCTGTGGACGTCTGACCAGGAGGGAGGACAGGCCTAGACCGAGAGCCGTTCAGTCGAAGGGAATGCGTCATGTGGACCCGTGGATTCTGACGTGGGTTTCAGTTTCAGCCTGTGGAATCGAAATTCCACTGTTTTAGGAATGGTAGACCCGCTACTTAAGGGGTCATAACCTACTATTGTAGGGTTTGGGGGCTACAGGAAAAGAAGGGCATGCTTTGCACATCCTGTTAACGGGAAGGCCTGCGGCTATAGCAGGGTCCCGGGTCCGCAGACCGTTCCTATGACCCTAAGGGTCCATGTACCCAAATAGTATATACTTTGGCCTTAATGTAGTCCCTATATTAATACTTTAGGGCCAATGTTCTACTATTTAGGTACATGGACCCTTAGGGTGATGGACAGGGCAGGCCAATTGCCACTGACGCACGTGCAAGCCACCTGGACTAGCTCCGGTGGCGAGGAGGTGCGGCCACCTTGCTTGAGTGAGTGCTTGCATGACAGAGAGAAAAGGTTTTCGTGTGCTTTATGGCTCATGATTGCACGGTCCCGAAGCAGTTTTCTTCATCATGAGCTGCCTTGAATCCGGGTTTCGCGATGTCTGACGATAAGTCTGCGGTAGGCTAAGCTACCGGCACAACTCCACGTTCCGTCCAGGTACTTCGTTGAGCATTGTCGCCAGATTCTGATAACAATACTGCAACTGTGCGAATGCAGAATTTCATCGCTGAAGTGGTGACCTGAAAGTTTATTGATTGAAGACCTCGTCACAAGATTATCGGATCTATAGCAATTTACAAGGCGTCTGTAGGGATTTATGACAGGTCCATAGCAGCAAAACGCAAAAGGCCGCTGAAGCAGATGAAACTGTCTATGAAGGATCGCACATGTTTGCAACTTCAAAATCAGAAGCCGTATATCTACTGCGTAGGGTTCCTCAGCGGCGCTCTCGGCAGTTTAGGGTGGTCTTATAGGATTTGGGGTCCATAATGCCTATAGACTACAGGTGGGTTGAGGGTTTTTTTAAGTTTTTTAGGATTTGGGGTTTAGGGTTCGCTTGGCCCTCAATTAAATACCGCTTCAAAGACTCATAGAGGGAACCCTAAGACAGAAGGTTTTAGAGGGCGCAGGTCGGTTTTACAAAAAAACACAAAGGCCTGAACTAGTAGATAGAACAGAGTTCGAGGCTTTTTGCGAGCCAGAACTCTAATAGGAATTTATTCAGGCGTCTATACTACTGTACAAGCTCAGAAGAGCACTGCCTCGGCTTGCCGCAAAACGAAAGCGAGAGACAGCCAAATGATCCGTAACCTTCCATCCACTATCTTACATAAGCCTTACAATGCTTCAGACCTCACAAGCCCCTGTCAAACTCTTCTGAAACCACATTAATTGGTCCACGGGTGGATCCCTGCGTGAATACTTTGAACCCTCAGGTGACTCTAGCTCCCGAAGCCCCCCCCCCCCCCAAACAGAGCCATATAGAAAAATATCAAAAGTAACAAC